GAGAAGCCGTAGAGCAAAAGCTGCAGGGAATTAAACCCTGGGATGAGGAGTTTTACAAGCTGGGAGTAACAGGAAGGAGTGGGAATCCAGAGAAGGTGGAGCTGAAGGCAATGAAAACAATGGCTTTCAGACTTTAGGCATTGCTGGAGAATGTCTGGACTTTTTGGCTTCCTTTCTGGTTGGAAAGGTAGGAATGTCTTGGTGAAAAATGCCCCCACAATGGTTGGTGGATCTGATTAAATAAAAAAGTCACGTGGCTCCCATTTTTATTTTTCTTAGTTGAGTATGTGAAGAAGTCTTCCATCCTCCACACTATAGTTTAATATCCTAGTGACTTCATCGCGAATAATGAAATAGGTATTGAGGAATTCTGACAAAATGAGCTAACGTCTTAAAATAAATGATTCTTTCATATACCATGGTGGTCTAGAGGGGAAAAAGGCTGTTCATTTTGGTTGAAGTGATCAGTGAAGGAGTAATTCCAGGAAATGTTTTGATTTTTTGTTAAATGTCAATGGACTTTGTACTGGAAAATCAGAACACTTTGTTTTTTAAAAAAAAACAACAAACCCATCTCTCTTTATGTAACAATCCTTGTGTTATTCAGTTATAAATTTTGGCCAAGGATAACAGTAATAATTGGCAAGATGGCAGAAAATGATGCTGGTGGTGGAGTGGCTCCATTGGTAGAGCACTTGCTTAGCAAGCACACATCCTACAAATCCCAAGACAAAAAAAATAAGATTACATGAAAATGATTAAGTAAATTATTTTAAGCATCCTTAGGATTCCTTAATACCAGTCACAACAGGTTTTCTAGTAGTAGTCAAGTAAATAATTTGTTGTAAATCTGTGTGAACTCCAAATTGTACATGATGGGACTTCCTTGCTCATCCATTAAAATAATGGAATAATGGAGTGCTAAAGGGCTAAAGGTGCCCATCTAGCCACCAAATTTGGACCATTCAAGGAACCATCTTCCCCCAAAGCATGCATCTGACAGAAATGAAACAGCTTGAACTGCTTATTTGTTATAGTACTCACATTCATTTCAGGCTCATTTCAGTTGACATTGAAAAAAATATTATCTGCAGTGGCTGCTCTGGACCATACTGACCACTCACAATAAGATGCATAAAACCCAGTTCCTGTCACCAAGGTACTTACTAGCTAGAGTTAAAAATTAGACCCACACAGAAGAGCCTAAGATTTCTGAGTTTCAGTTCTTCCTAATAGTTAAAGTAATAATGTGGACTCCGTGACTGTTTTGAGGAATCACCAGCCTGAAATTCCTTTGGCCAGAAAATTTTTTTTTTTCTCCAGGAAATTTTAGGGGCAAATACCTAAAGTTAAAATTCTTTTTTATCTTTTTTATTATTAATATCAACAGAAACAACTTTAAACAGCTAGCATTTTGTTGGCAATGGAAATTGTCACAGAATTTGGGATTGATTCTTACTAACAGACTCTCACAGTTTTAGGTGGATTTTATTTTTTAAGTATCATTCCTAAGAATGCCGATTAATAGTTTTCTAAACCTTTAGTATACAGATTAGCAAACTATTAAAAATAAGTTTGGGCCAGGTACAGGTCACTTACACCTATGATCCTATCTACTCAAGAAGCTGAGAGCTGAAGATTGAGGTTTGAAGTTAACCTGTGCAGAAAAGTCCAGGAGATGCTGGCTTCAACTAACCAGTAAAATGTCAGACTGGCTGGGCTCTGTTGACTCATGCCTATAAGCCGAGCTACTCTGAGGGTTGAGATCTGAAGATTAAGGTTTGAAGCCAGCACAGACAAGAAAGTCCGTTAGACTGATTTCCATGAATTATCAAAAAGTTGGAAGTAGAGCCGTGGCTCAAGTAGTAGAGTGCCTTGAGTGAGAACAGTAAGGCACAGAACCCTGAGTTTAAGCCCTGGTATTAAGTGCACGCGCGCGCGCGCGCACACACACACACACACACACAAACACACGCGCGCGCGTAGAGAGAATGCTAGCTGTGAGTGCAAAAGCCATATGAAAGCAGGTAGTCTTGAGGTCAAGCCACAGTATCAATTAGAAAGAAATAAAACAATTTGAAGTAAGCATGAAAACGTATTAAAAATAAATGAGGGCTGGGAAGGTGGCTCAGTGGTAGAGCGCTTGCCTTGCATGCTCAAGGCCCTGGGTTCGATTCCTCAGCACCACATAAGCAAAAAGAAAAAAGCCAGAAGTGGCCCTGTGACTCAAGTGGTAGAGCGCTAGCCTTGAGCTGAAGAGCTGAGGGACAGCGCCCAGGCCCAGAGTTCAGGCCCCACGACCGGACCCCCCCAAAAAAAATAAATGATTATTTTACTCTATAAGGAACTACTAAAGGAATCTATTGGTTTTCCATAGGGCAATAATAAAGATAATTCAAAATTGGGAAATAGCCTCTGTTGGCTACTTAAAGAAGAGTTGACTGAGCTGGGGAAAACAGGAAAATGTCCTAGGAATGAAAGCTAAATGTTGTCTCACAGAACGAAAGTTTTAGTATCTCCTTTTCTGGAAATGTTTAAAAACAAGACAAATCTATATCTCTTGGGAAAAGAGTTGAAGTTCAGCCTTCTCGGAGGCAGCAGTATTATATTAACTGTATTGTGCCTTTGTGGTCTCTTGAGTTTTAAAGAGTTCTCGGATGCAGTAAATATTCCACACTGTGTTGACAGAAACTTTTTCATGGCTGTTCACTTGAAAATTAGTTATTATGAAACTGGAGTGAACATGTATCTATGTATGTATGTGTACATATGCATCACACTTGAATTCCGATGTGGGTTTGATGTAAACTGGGCTTATTGGATATACCTGCACCAGTTGTAAATACACTAAAATAATATCTTTGCGGTGATGAAACAGAGTATAGCATTTTTTAGGTTAAAAATAAAAAACACTTGTTTCTTCACAGAATTTCAAATTAATCACTCAATAAATAATTTTAAAGCAACTGATAGGAACATTTCAGGCTTCAAAGATGAATTTGCTTACAACTTAACAAAATGACTACCAGAAACATGTTATTGTATGTGGGGGGGTGGGCAGGGGAAGGTCCAGGGTGGGAGGGTAGATGAATGGAAAGAGGAAAGTTGCACGAATGCAATGTTAACATCCAGTGAACATATGTGAAAATGGAGCTGGGTAACTTGAGGAGATGGGTGGGTTGGGAGAGATAGGGGAGAATAATGGAAGAGTGACATTGGTCAAAATGTGTTATAAACTGACACGTTGAATTTAAACCACTAAAGATAATACAATGTTTATAAAAAAACAAAAAAAATGAATTAGACCTGGTTCTTGCCTTCAAGAGTTTTAAGGGGAGGTTTAAGGTTCAAGGGGAGATTAAAACCTGCACAGGTCAGCTGGGCACTGGTGGCTCATGCTTGTACTGTAGCTGTGCAGTAGGTTAAGATCTGAGGATCTCAGCTCAAAGCCAGCCCAGGCAGGAAAGTTCATGACACTCATATCTTTCAAATTAACCAACAAAAAGCTGGAAGTGGAGATGTAGCTCAAGTGGTAGAGTGCTAGCCTTAAGCAAAATAAAACAAAAACTTAGAGACAGCAGACCAGGTCCTGAGTTCAAGCCCCCCAGCATCCTCCCCCTCCAGAAACACAGTAACCAAGAAAACATGCAGAGATCTTATAGGGATTAATGGAAATAGAATAATAGGAATAGGATCCATGAAAGGATAAAGCAGTGTTGAGATATTTCAGAGAAGGGACAACATCCTTTGGATTTAACCAAGGGATACTTCCTGAACAAAAAAAATGCATTGAACTGGTCTTAAGAAGTATGAGGCATTTTGAAGCGTAGCAGTGGAAAAGAGAGTGGAATCCAAGGGAAGAACAGATTCCACTGTAGCCACAGGAACTTGGGGGGAGATAATCTAGAAAGCCATCATGGTGGTGTTCAATCTCAAATAAGCCAGAGAGCATGGATTTTACTTATTCAGTGCTAAAGGTCTCTTCGAAATGATGAAGCATTGAAGGATTCCTACACATGTTTGGACTGCAGGAGAAAAAAGGCTCTAGCAAGGAGTTCAGAGGAGAGTCATCTGGACCAGAGTTTTCTAAGAGCTATACTGAGAAGAAACACTAGTTCCAAGGCATGTTGGTATTAGTTCCCCCAAAAGGAGATTCCTCACCAAAAATTCAGTGGAGAAATTAAAATAAAAACCAAGCAGTTGCATGGGTTTCTTCACTGGAAGACTTTTCAGAGTTATTTAATACTGAGAATTGCCTTGACACTCAAGTAGGGTAAAGTGTACCTTCTCCCACAGGACTTCATCCTGTTTTTCATGGACTATCTCAGGAAACTTCTTTGGGCAGCATTGCTTTGTATTGGATGCTAATGGCTGGAACACAGTGGTACTGCGTGGAAACAGTGGTGGGATCAGTTTTGTGGGAGGAAGCATCGACTTCCCTCATAGATGGTTGGCACTCGGTAACTGTGCAGAAAACTCATGTCTACAAGAGGATATTATTGATTTATTAACAGGAATTGGCTGGATATTGCATGTTGAAGCAGAAGGGGAAAGGAAGCCAAGATTAGGAATGTGGAGAGTTTTGAGCTTTGCTGTACTAGAAACAAGAGTGTGGAAAGCTAGGAGAGGTAATTAATATAAATCAAAGATTATCATTTTACTCTTAACTTGAGCCAAAAGGTTTCTCTGGACACTAGTGACTTTGCTAGAAAAAGTGTTGTTGTTGTTGTTGTTGTCTCATCAAGTATATTTTAAATGGTTAAGATGCTTGCCTATTTGGATTCTAGATAAACAGTAATTTCATATGAATTTATTCTACCGTAGGACAGCCATATGTTTAGTTAAAAAACAAACAACACGTAAGGATTAAGAGCATCAAAATAATTGCAGTCTGTTCATCAGATCTTCTTGAACATTCTTCTCATCTTCACTGAGTTTTTTTAAGCCTCATTTACTCATAAGGAATGAATTAAGTTTTAATATTTTGTTCTTCCATTCAGGTATTTGCCTTTGATTATTGCTTTTGGTCCATGGATGAATCTAACACTACAAAATATGCCGGTAAGTTGACTCTTTGAGTTATATCTGGTCTCTCCCTTTAATTTCATTTTCTAGAATTATTTGTTTTTCCTATGTAATTCACGTTCTTTTCACTTCTAGCAGGTGGTCAATAAGATTTGGTTTCAGGCTTGGGATGTAGCTCAGTGCTAAAGCACGTGCCTAGCATGTACAGGGCCCTAGGTTCAATCTCCAGCACAACAGAGAAAGAAGGAAGGAAGGAAGGAAGGAAGGAAGGAAGGAGGGAATTTAGTTTTAGAACCAAGCCTACCATTCATTTTCGAATCATCTTTGAGCAGTTTTTGGAATCCTCCTGAAGCTTCCAATTTTTTACCTGCAAAGGGGTATCATGTTCAGAGATGGGAATTGATGAAACACATTGCTTCAAGTTGTAATGGTATCTGCTGTAATGGTCACATGAAGGCTTAATTTGCTGTGCATTTCTTGTCACTAAATGTCAAACAATTGCCCTACTCTGCTTACATAAGCAAAGCATGGTGATGTTGGTTTGTCAGACCCTAGGTGCCCTAAGCAGTCAGTGATCACATGAACAAAAGTACATGTTCCTCAGGGAAATGTCTCTCAACTTCCTGTTGGCTGGTATTCTGTCTTTGAGCATTTATTACCATCTCATGTAACACACAGCTCACTGCTGTTTTATTACTGATGGCCTTGAGTGACACCTCTCTGACCTCCTGAACATCAGTCATCACTTAATTCAAGAGGGAAGCATAGTTTTATCTCTTTGAATTATTTTTTAATTAACAGTATCATGTACAATATGTTTTTAAATAGTATAATGCGGAATAGCTAAATCAAGCTAATTAACATACTGTCTCTTGTACTTATTTTTTGTACTAAAAATACTTGAAAACCTCAGTGATTTTCAAGAACAAAATGCATTGTTATTGACTATTGTTAGCATTTTCACAGTAGATCCATTGAACTAATAATTCAGAGTATAACAAGGGGACTCAGAATCTCCTTATAACATTAACAGTGTTTACTGAATTACTTTTTTACATATGCATATCACATTTACTCATATGTATATTTGTATATATGTATTATAAAGGGTATATATGTGTGTGTGTGTTTTAAAAGATTGGACAATAAGAGAAAGTTATATGCTTACAGAAACTTAGCTTTTGGTTGTTAGGTCTTTTCTTGCTACATAAAGTGAACTTGTTGGGAAATTAGTTGACAGTGTTTTCAAAAGTTAATCATCATGAGCTAGAAAGATTACTTCAGTTGCTCACATTGAGTAAATTAGCCTTTCCAGACATCCTGCCTGCAACTTCAGTAATGTATTTTATGAAAATGAATGGCTCATTTTTAATGTTTGTTGTAATTAATTTGTCTTTTTTATCATCCCTTTGGGACTTGTAATAAATTCTGCAAAGTCTGGAACACTGTCTGGATTTTTAGTACTGTATGTGGTTTGTGTGTGTGTGTGTGTGTGTGTGTGTGTGTGTGTGTGTGTGTGTGTGTGTGTGTGTGTGTGTGTGTGCTGGATATGTGTGCTTTGAGGTTTAAATCAAGAACACCAGTGGACCATTTCCTTTGGTTTCAGACACCAAAAGGGACAGATGCTATAGCTGAACAAAGCCCATCACTGTCTCACCTTCTGAATTGCTATTATTCAGGATGCAGCAGATAAGTCTTCTCAACTAAAGCTTCTAATGCAGTTCTCAAATATCTTCCAGGACCCTTCATCATTTACTGAATAGAACCTGAATAGAACGTTAGAGTTTGTTTGTAGTGGAAACCCATGTACCTCCCCACCACATGGCCTTGTGACTTCTCACTACCCAGTCTATGCCCCAGCCAGTGTCTATTGTTAATTCCTCTTATATAACCCAGGAAACCAAAAAGTCTCAGAACAATGCTTTCAGTGTTCATTCTGTGTTCAGTGTAGGAAACCCTTAAGAAAAAAATAACATGGGAAGAAAAAACAGAAAAGATTTAAAGAGAAACTTCTCTGAAGAGGAAATAAGAATGGCCCATAGACACTTGAAGAAATGCTCAACCTCTCTAGCCATAAAAGAAATGGAAATCAAAGCAACATTGAGATTCTACCTCACCCCAGTTAGAATGGCTATAATCAAGAAATCTAATAGCAACAGATGCTGGAGGGGATGTCGGTGGGAGTGTAAACTTGTTCAACCACTTTGGAAAACAGTATGGAGGTTCCTCAAAAGACTACCATAGAACTCCCCTATGACCCAGCAATCCCACTGTTGGACATTTACCCAAACGATCACAAACAAAGGTATACTACAGCTACCCGCACAACTATGTTTATCACAACATTATTTACCATAGCTTAAGATATGGAACCAACCCAGTAGATGAATGGATCAAAAAATGTGATATATATAATGTAATTCTATGCCTCCATCAGAAAGAATGACATTGCCCCATTTGTTAGGAAATGGAAAGACGTGGAAAAAATTATACTAAGTGAAGTAAGCCAGGCCCAGTAACTAGTGTATGTCTAGGACAAGCAGAAAAGGTAAAAAGACATGTACATGTGGCCATATAAGATGATCTTAAGTGAAATGAACCCCAAGACAGGGACAAGTGGTTTTTTCTTTCATGCTATTGTTTTTAATGTACTTATAATGTACTATGTGATTTATAATGTACTATGTGTTTCTTTTGAATGTTCTTCCCCCATGGTATAACCTCTGTTTTCACTGTATTTGATTCTGGTGCCCTGCATCTTGTATATACACTTTTCTAATTTGGGGAGGAGAAGGGAAAAAACAAAAGGCTTAAATAGGGATAAGGGTTAACCCATTGTAACAATGAGATGTACAAGATACTATGTTGAAAACAAACTTTACAAATGGGTGCGGGGAAAGTTGGGGAGGTGGGGAGGAAAGGGATGGTAGAGGAAAAACAAAGGAGGAGGTAACAATGCTTGATAAGGAATGTACTCATTACCTTACTCATGTAACGGTAACCCCTCTGTACACTATTTTTACAATAAAAAACATACTTAAAAATGCTTATCAAACAACATTTGCGGATAATTCACTCTAAATGTTACAAGGTTTTTTTGTTTTTTTTTTGCTTTTGTTTTGCCAGTCCTAGGGCTTGAACTCTGGGCCTCGGTGGTGTCCCTGAGCTTTTGTACTCAAGACTAGCACTGTACCACTTGAGCTCTACTTGTGGCTTTTTGTGGTTAATTGGAGATAAGAGCCTCACAGACTTTTCTGCCCTGGGTAGGTTCAAACTGCCATCCTTCGATCTCAGCCTCCTGTGAGCCTCTTGTGAGGATTACAGGTAGAGCCACCAGTGCCCAGTTACAAGACCTTTTTCCCCCCTACAGCTGTGGCCCACAAACTGTTCTCAGCCAACTGCAGAATCATTAAATCCAGTGATGAATTTCAGTTGCAGAACAAAAGATTTCTGTAGCTCTACATTATATGTTCAGAAATACCTTAAAAGTATAAAAAAATTTGTAATATACTGATAGTAAAAACCATTTCCTGAAGTTTACTTGCATGAACACTTCAAAAGACCATGTCCAGTTAGCCCAGAAAGAATATCTCTTAGCTCAAAGAGTAATGGCTCTTTACAAAGCGTGGGGAAAGTTTTTGTTTGTTTTATTTTTTAGATATCTTCATTATTGTATATATTCTGTGACTGTCTTAGCAAAACATAATTTCTTGGTTGCTCTTTTCTCAATATTTCATCCAAATGATCTACCTAGTAAATGTACCACTTGTAGATTAGTTGATTGGTTTCCATACTAATTTGATTTTCCCTTTTTCCTTCATTTAAAAAGAAATCGCAGTTCTTAACTGTGAATAGAAACATTAAGAGAGAAGCATTCATTCCCTGGTGGGAAATAGGGGAAGTGGAGAGGGGGAAATCCTTATTTCCTGAAGCCATCCTATTTGTCAGGCTGAATGAATAATGGCATCATTGATACTGACTCTGGACTTTCAAAGCAGCTCTCAAGACTGGGGGCTGGTGGGAGGGGCATGCATGGATTGAGAGGACCAAGAGAATCAAGGGCTCTTAAGAATGGTGTGTCAAAATGTTTAATTCTCAGTGATGTTTGGCTCTTTATGAAAAGCTATAAGAAAAATGCTTCTGCTCTCCGGAGAGTATGCGCAATGGCATTGCAGTGGGTTGGTTGGAGCAGATGACAATGGTGGGCTCCAAGGGTCGGCCCCTCCACCTTCTACCTGTGGAAGTTGAATCTCATTATGCTTCTGTTTCCTCATACGTGAAGAGTAGTAATAGTTCTGAATGACCATAGTAAGAGGTTGATCTGAGCACTAAATGACATGTTCTTGTGAAGTACCTAAGCCAGTACTGGACATATAGAAAGCTGTCACTTAATATTCATCATCATTTTTACTGTTGCCTCACTGTGACTAGCTTTAGTACTTTGGAGAGAAAATACCTCAGTGCTGGGATTTAGGAGATCTGGCTTTGCTATAAGCTGCTAGGCTCTGGGGGAGATAAAGATAACCTTTGTGAATCCCTTTTACTACCTCTGTGACAGGGTGGAGACATGGCCTAGTAGGATCTCAGGGCTGCCTGTGGCCCCCCTCCCCACCATCCCCCCAGCTCTCTGAGAAAACGTGAATCAGCCATTTTATGCTGGTGGCACAGCTGGGATGGATAAATCAAAGGCTTGTTTGTTAAGCCATTGGCATTGCATGGAGTTACTCTTTGAGGCATTTTCACATTTAAAATGTATTATCACTTCCTCCTCTTACCCTTGAGCCAGGTAGTTATCATGTTTGTCTGGCTGACGGGTCGTGGGGCTTGAACTCTGGGCTTGGGAGGTGTCCCTCAGCTCTTCAGCTCAAGGCTAGTGCTCTGTGACTTGAGCCACAGTGCCACTTCCTGTTTTCTGAGTGGTTTATTGGAAATAAGAGTTTTAGGGACTTTACAGCCCTGGCTGGCTTTGAACCAAGATGCTCAGATCTCAGCTTTCTGAGTAGCTAGGATTATAGAAGTGAGCCACCAGTGCACAG